CCTGACGCTATCCATAATTACCAAAAGCAATCTTGGTAATTTCTAAGAGCTGCAAAGCTCAAACTTTGACAGTCTTTGCTATTTTAAAAAATATAAAATATTAAATAAATTGTTTTTTAGAATGGAAACGCATCGAGATAATTTGCTCAACTCCTATTCAATTCACAAGCGCACAAACTCATTTTTTCTATAGCATAGCTTTGTGGCATCACTGTCGCACAGTTGGTAAAGGCAAGCTGATAGTAAAATGACGACAGGATGAATGTAAAAGCGACTTTGACAATCAGGTAAAGTGTCTGTCAACTTTGGACAGCAAAGATAATTAAGTAAAAACCTTGGAGAAAGAAGCCATTTTCAACGTACCTCAAAGTTTGTGTTGCGTTTACAGTAATCTTTAGATAAATATGGTCAACACTGTAAAGAAAAAAGTTTACATTAAAATAGAAATAACTTATTAAGTAGCACAATATTGTTTACACTAATTTTGTTATTTATCATATATATGTGTGTAAAACATATTTATATATATTATATATATATATATATATCCAGAAAGTTCCCTGAACTCTCTTGTTGTTGTCGCTGTTAACCTTAATTTGGCAAATCAGGCAATGCTATACATACATACATTTGTATATACATATATAAATATATTTTTTGTTCTTTTTTATGATTTTTGTGGACTTGGAAAACGAAAGGTAAAAAAAAAATTAAAAAGGAGACATCGTTCAGGCATCAGAAGTATCTAGCTTGTGTGTGTGTGTGTGTGTGTGTGTAGGTATTCAGTGTTGGCAAGCTGCTGCTGCCGTTCCTGCTGCATTCCAAATGTTGCCAGTTTTCCCACACAAACACAGAGCGAAATATTACCTTCTTGAAGAGAAACGAGTGTTGTTCTTTTTATACCCAGAACCCACCCACAGCCAGAGCTAGGGCTAGAGACTTTACATTTGAAATATAATTTCTCGTATACCACACAAAAATCCAGTTTAATAAATTTTATCGATAATTTCATCCGCTTTCGAGATATCGATGGACATTGATTAACGATGTGAATAAAATACACAATTTTCAAGCTATAGCTATCTAATTGGATATGAATATACCTGTCCGAATTTGCTCAAGATCGTATATACTTTGGTGCTGTGTAGCTTCCAGTCGAGCTCTCTTCATAGATGAATTCTTACTACTAGTTTTTCAGAGTGTAGAAAAAGAAATTGGCCCCATTGCCAGTGCCTAATGAACTAAATTTTCATTTCTTTTGCTCGCTCACGCCTTCCTTTTATCACCATCTCTCCCTCTCGCTTTTGGTCTCTTTACGTTTTCTGGTTGAGCTGATTCTGTGCCGCTGCCAGTGTTGCCAGATCTGGTTGTTAATGCGGCTCAGTTGGCCGCTCCTACTTTGCTGTTTATCTTTTGCCTCACAAAGGGGGGCCACATTAACCTCTTTGTTAATCATTTATAAACAAATGCAAATCAAATAAAATACACAGCCAGCAGCTGCCTGGAGGGATAAGCAGGTAACAGGTAACAGGCAAACCGGCAACCAGGTGAGCCAACTAAACTGAGCTGCTACTGAGCCCAGGCTGAAGCTGAAGGAGAGGCTGAGACTGAGACTGGCACTGTGACTGAGACTGAGGCAAAGCCTGAGCGAACGACTATGCAAATAAACAGTAGCCAACCAAATGAGCAGCGAATGGGAGGAAAGAAAAATATATACACACACCCACACCCACACACACCCGCACAGACAAAATAAACAGCAAAAAAATGGCGGGCAAAATGATTTTCCATAGATGGGACCGAGGAGAGTAAACCAAACTCAGTAAAAATTGTGCTCTACAATTTAAATCAATTTCTTAAAAGAAGAAACGTTTGCGACTTTAACGAAAATTCTGAAAATTTCCTACTTATTCCCACTATTTAGAGAAATGTTCCATCTTAAATATTATTTGAATGCTTGTGAAATATTCCTTAGCTTAAAAATATATCAGATTGAATATAGTATTTATGCCTTTGAAAATAAAACATTTTTTCCAATACTCAACCCACGCAGAGCTGTCCCATTTTTTGCTAGACAATCTCAATATGCTCAAATTCGATAAAAAAAAATTTAATTCAAATAAGTCAAATCAGCATGTAACACAAATTCAATAACTTGACATTTTATCCAAATAAAAGGATGCTACTAAAAATAAAATCAAAGGTGTGCAGAAAGCAAAGGTAGGTGAAATTGAATAGATGTGATCTACTGGCAAGTTGTGCAAAGTGTCGAAAATGTCTTAAAATATTATTCTTCAGCTACGACTTTCGGATATTTATGAGCAATAAAATGTAAATTTTTATGTTAAATTAAAGCTAAAGCAGTTTGTCAAAAATTTAACCAAATTTACAAGAAATTTTTGGCGAAAATAGATGGCACATTAACACTTAAATGAAAGCAATTTATATCCCTTTTCAAATTAAACTCAAATTAAGTCAATATGCGAAAACTTTTGATATTTGACTACCTTAGAGCTCCACCCCTCATTTCCAGTAAGTTTCTTTTTTCCATCGAGAGCTGAGGAGGAAGTGAAACTAAATGGAATTTGCACATAATTTGAAGCAATTTTCCACCCTTTATAATACACAAATCAAATCAGCTCTAGCTATAAAAAGTTGCCAGATATATTTTGAAGAGGTTTTCCATGAATATTTGCGACTCTCGTTTATAAATTTAAATAATCGCACCGACCCCGACCCCGCGTGCTCAACCAGCAGCTACCGTTAACTTTACAGGAGGCATTGCAAATTGCATTTTGAGCTGTCACGCGTAGCAATCTGCTTCCCATCTTCGTGGCTTTGCAGGACAGCAGGACAGCAGGACAGCACGTGGACGTGGACGAGGACGATGAGGAGTACAAGAACATGGACTAGGACATGGACATGGACTTAGACGTAGACATGGACTTGGCTTCCTTTGACTTGTTAAAAACTTTAATCAATGCTGAGAAGTAAATGGCGATAGCAAAGGGAAAAGGTGGGTGGTGGGGGCGTAAGGGGATAGGTGGTAAGGTCGTGGCAATTTCACAACTGCTTTCATATGCAAAAGATTCCAGTGGCGCTGGAGCGCATAATTAGTTTGGCCTATCTGTAAGCGCCTCGGTTTTAGATTCAGCTTTCATGTTGACTCTTCCTCTTCCTCTTTTTTTTTTTGTTACTTTTGTTGCTATCCTGTTGCTATCCCCTGCAACTAACTATTTAGCCCCCTGCTTTATGGATGTGTGGGAGTGGGGGTTGCGCTAGTTAAGTGCGTATTGTCAGGACTTTCGCATTTCCCTGGGCTTATGATATTTTAATTAATTATGTGCGCCAATATAGAAGACACTTGCTTGCTCTTTCCCGCACTCTCTCTCTCTCTCTCTTTCCGTTCTTACTTATTATTTGCTATATTTATATAGAATAAAAAGTAAAAATCATTTGTATTTTTGATCAAGAAAGATTTCATAAACCTTGAGTAGTTTTTAAGTTATTATATTTTTCTAATTACAAATAATTTTAAAGTGTTGAGACTAATTTGATGAATTGTGACAAGCATATAGAAAAGTATATACGCCTAAGTTAATGGTGATTTTATCGAAGTTCGATTCTTAATTCTGGTCAATTCCAATTTGTGCAAATTTTAATTTCCGAGAGGGCCCTGGACGGCATTGCAGATAATTGCCTGCCAGAAGCAAGCATCGTAGCCCGCCACGTTCTGTCACCTTATGCTCCCAATCCGATGGGCGGTCAGCCAGACATCAGCAGCAGCTATGTTTGACGCCTGTCAACGACACCCCTCACCACTCTTCTAACCACTCTTCCCGCACCCTACAGTCGTGCTCCTCGCTCTTGCTCCATGGTTTGTTTGTAAAAGCACTCAAACTGTCAAAATGGTGTGGGGCAACAACAACCTGCAACACAGCAGCAACAACTGTGTCAGTTAGTCAATAATATAATTTCTTATTACATTTTTTCGCTTCACACACACATACACACACACAAGCATACTTACTACACACTTATACATATAGATGAATATATATTTGTGCCCAGAGCCCATTGAAAATTGCTTAAAAAATAGTATAATGAAGTTGCGCAAAAGTATTTTTAACAGGCACAAGGAAGTTACTTCGAACCCATAAGCACATTTCATACCTAGAGAAGTTCTCATATACCACATACAAATCAAGTTTTTTCCACATTTTGTCGATAACTTTCTATCTAGGTCAAACTTGCTAAAAATTAAAAAAATAAAACTAAAAAACTTGAGTGCAGGGCATCTCTGAGTCGAGTTCTCTCGATTCGGGTATTCTATCTTGTTTTTTTTTTGGCATTGCGCTTTTATCACATTACTTTTAGCTGCCTTCCCAAACACTTTTTTTTATAGCTGCTGAAGCATTCGATATTGTTACACTTAAATGGTTAAGAGGTAGCAACAAAGAGAGAAAGAGAGACAGAGACAGAGACAGAGGGACGGAAAAAGATGAAGCGGAGCAGAAGCCAACGTTGTAGAAAGCTGCAAGCAGTGCAAAACTTGTATATATATATATATATATGTATGTATAATGCATAACCATATTGGAACTACAGTAAAAACTTTGCATCACAAAAAACTCTTAACAGCAATTTCTAATCATAAAAAAAATCGGTTTTGAAAATCTTTCAAGCTTGAAAATACGTTCGTTAATCGATTCTTCACAAAATAATCTTATAAAGAACTTCTACACAACTTATTATTAGATTCTTTTATTTTAAAGAATATTTCCCAAACAGTGAGTGATTGCTTAATCGAAATCAACAACAAATATATATAAAGGGTCGTAATAAATAAGATAAGTGCTAAATTTCATTTACTATTTACTCGAATGTGCCTTGCAATTGTAATCGGCACTGTAAAAGCCAAAATTAATCAGATTGAAATGAGTACTGAAAAAACAAAACAAAACAAACGAGTAGACAAAAATTAAAATAATTTTTGTAATTTTGGCCAACAGAATTTTGAAGCAGCTGGCAAAGTGGTAAGTGATAAGCGACAAGTGGCAACTGGCAAGTGGCAAGTGGCAAGGATATGTGAAATGTGACTACTTTCCGTGAACGTGTTAAAGTTCATGCTCATCCACTAACATTCCAGCTTGTCAGTGTATGTTCATACAGTCTTTAAGTTAAATTTTTGGAAAGATGATGCAGCCGGAGGGGAAACAATGCGGCCATACAGTTGCAGCAGCAACAACAAAAATACAACCACTTGCACCCGGATCAGATGGAATAATGGATATGGTTAGCCGTATGAGAGTAATGAAATTTTTCAATGTGATCCTTGCGCGACTCTGGCGACGACGTTGTTCTGAAGTTTGCGAGCTGAACGAACTGGTTCGCAAATATGAATCAAAGGTAAGCAAGAATCCCAAGTACGCCATCACAGATTATATACCCTTGCAGAATATAGACTTTGAATTTGCTCATACATATAAGCTATATGATATAGTAAAATCGGACATGTTGTTGCTGTTGCTGTTATTGTTATTGTCTTTGTCAAGTCTTGTGATTTTTGTTTGTAAATGTCCTAGTGTCTCATAGAGAGTGACACTGGGATAAGAATTCAAATTAAAGTAAGTTCTGTGTGCAATCTCGAATGCTGTTGAAAATTAGTTCAGTTTAGACTGATCGTTATGGCCCATTCCCAGATGGCACATGTCTCCTCTGCAAGTGTATAAGAAATAAGAAAATAACCAAAGACGAAGAACGAAATTCCGTCAATCCCCTTTTGTGCATTGGCAGATAAATAAAACGCACGACGAACTCATCAAGCGCAACAAGATGATCTGCCATGAGCAGCGACGATGCGGGCATTGGGAAACAGAGCTGCGTCGAGTCCAGGCCGTGTCGGATTTGAATATGCGCCGCTGTGTGACCATTGAGAAGGCGCTGAACGTGGCGTGCGGCCAGAGGTTGCACCTTAGTAAGGAACTGCAGGCCAAGACTCTGGAGTGCAACAATGCCTCAGATCTGCTCAACGAGAGCCGAACTGAGATGTTTCGTGAGCTGTCCAAGCATCGGGAGTGTGCCAAAGCATTGGCTGAGCAACAGCGACTCAATCGCTGGCTAGAGATAAGAAATGTCGAACTGGAGGATGAGGTGAGAAAAATGTGTATATATAATGACTCAATGCAACATACATCATGCCAGGGCTCAGTTTGGTTCGTCAAACCATATTTTTGAAAAGCAGATTATTAAGTTTGGGCTTAGTTTAGGGTCCGTTTCACGGTTTGAAAACAATTAGAATATAATCAGAATATAAACATAATTTTAAGCTTTAAAGGACTAATACCATTCGCAAAGTCTGCTGATAATATAACCTAATGTGGCTAAAACTCCTGAAATATCTAGACATACAATCTACACATCTATATCTATATTTGAGAGAAACTTAACTTAAAAAACATATTAATTCTATTGCATACTTTTACATATTATATAGCTGATGACACTCAAGGATCGGTTTCAGTCGCAGCATGATGATGTTTCCGTCGCTATGCATAAGAGTAAGTTGCAGCTGGATGATACATATGAGAGGCTCAAGGATTTTGAACAGCAACTAACCGAGTTTCAGCTGTAAGTCTTCTAAGCTAGGTACATATTTGAATTCCCCATGAGATGAACGATATGATAGGGGTAGTCCGTCCATTTTTAATGTTGTCTGGTCAAGGGCTCATTTGAGCATTCGAAACTTATATTTAGATTCAAGATGATTTATGAAAACAACGATAATCGTTTCTTGAAAATACAAATTGCTGAAGTGAGCTAAGTCTTAATGAAGAAAAAATATCGATAAAGCAGCGGTAATACAATCATTACATATCAAAAGTACTACTTTGTCGTATTTTTCACTATATATCCATTAATATAAGAAAGCAGTAATGTAAATTTGAAACTCAGTATAGCTGCTTTCTCTTTTTCTCTCTCTATCTCTTTCGCCACCTCTCGCTGCCAACAGCCAACATTTTCAACTGCTGAAGGAGATCCAGGAAGATGGCGTGTTCCAGGAGATGGATGAAATTGAACGCAAAATCGGAATAATGCCTTATGCAATATATTTTATCATCGTCGATCGTTGGCCGAATGCTAAGTTTATTCTGCATGAGATAATGGCCCGATTTTTGGTCTATATACTACATCATAACCCATTGCCCGTATCGACGATGCCAATTACGGTGGTTGGTGTTTTTTGTGGCGTCATTCTACTCTTCGGCGCTATGAAATGATTCGGTATGTGTATGTATCTATATATACATATGTATATGTGTATACATATATTTAAAGGTTCCTGTAAATTGAAATGGATGGCAGAATGTTCTAGTTGTCAGTTTTTTCTTACTTTCGTTTCTAGTTCGATTAAATTAAGTTTTGAAAGTATTTTCAAAATTGGTTTGTCAAATAGAAATTATCTAAATTGTCATCTGGACAAATTCGAATTTAGATGCGTGTGCGAATCCATCCGATAGACATACATTTATATACATATATGTATATAAATTATATTTTATTGTACAATACAGATAAAGCAGTACAATAAATCGAACTGTTGGTATTATTATTATTATTATGTCTTATTATTAATTCAATTTGTCTAATATTAATGATGAGTGGAAATGGGATGGGATGGGAATTAAGCTATATACACACATACATATATACGTTGCCAGCCACAAAAGCAAACACCTTCTGACATTTGCACAGCTCATTTGTCGAATTCAACTGAATCTAAATGAAATTGGCATTCTCATCAGCCTAATGCCAGTAAACAACAACAGCAGCAGCAACAACCATAAAATGTGAAAGGTGGAAAACCGCAGCGCGACTTTAATTAAACAAAATAGTTTGTAATGTAATTCAATATGCCGCATACTTGGTATACACACATATGTACATATATACGCGTGTATGTATGTATGTATGCGAGTAGCTTTATTTGCACACCTTGGGAGTATGCAGCTATCAACAAACAGCTGTCGACTACTGCATACATAGAATTCATTCTAGAGAATTCAATCCATATGCAAGTGGAGCTTATTGATTTATGCTGTATGAGAAGTATTACAACTTGTTGATCCCACTGTCATTATCATTGTCATGAAATGAAAATAATGCCATATCGTAAGAAGAAATGCTGAGTGAATTCTTATAAAATGTAATAATTATAAATCAAATACGTATTTGTGCACATAACTCTGGTCTCGCATCTATCATTGTCAATGATTATAAAAATAATTAATAGGGTATATCAAAGTCGAGCGTTTTCTTACACACATACACATACATACATACAAATATATAACCTGCTAAGCAGCTCGGCAAAAGTGCTTAAAAACCTCCACTCACTCAATTATAGTAAGTAGCTTATTTGCTCGCAGTTTGAGTAGCACTGTGCTAAGCACATACACACAAACACACACACACTTACCTGCGAGGCACACACTCTCTCTCTCTCTCCCTCTCTCTATATATATGTTTTCATATATATGTATATATATATATATATATATATGACGCTTATGCGGCTGGCTGCTTTTTAAGCAATTGACACCTGCTTGTTGTTGTTATTTTTGTAATTGCTATACCAGCGTATTTGTTGCATTTTGGTCTTAGACACAAGCACAAACACGAGAAAAAAAAGTGTATGAAACGCGTTTGGAGATCAGCTCGAACAATGAGCAATTACATGCGCTTGTATGTGTTTCGCGAGTACGCAAGTGTGCGTAACAAATAACCACTAATTCTTCTATGCTATTTTATTTAGCGCTGCCAAACAATCGAAACCGAAACACGTTGCCGTCGTCGCCGTGACGCGGCTTCTTCTTTTTTTGCTTTTTTTTTGTTCTTTTTGTGTTTTTGTTGTGTTTATCAAAGCAATGCGGGCACGAGTGCGAGCAGGCTAACGGGAAAAGCTCAGCCAAACAACTGACCGGCTGAGAGCGCGCCAACGGATATGCACGCTTTGCAGTTGCTGTCGCCGTCGCCGCCACCGTCGCCGTCACCGTCATCATCGCCACCGTTCGTTTATCAAAGCACAAAAAGCAGCACAGCACATCGTAGAGAGTAAAAGTGGGAGTGAGAGTGGTGACTATGCGAGAGGGCATTAACGTTTGCGTGGGTGCTGATCGAGAGCAGAGAGTGCAAATATGTTAATTGTGCTCCCGCTCGCACTCTTCTATGTGCATGTATATTTCGCTGAGATTGTATGGGTGTGTGTGTGTGCAATGAGTGTGCGGTCGCTGTTATAGCGGCAATTGTTTGTTATTGTTGCTTTATTGCACAATCTTCCCATTAAACTGCAAACAAACAAAAAACGAAAAAAAAAAGGAAAATAGAAACCAGAAGGTATTTCCGATCACCCTACAGCATTCTACAAATTGTATTAAATGAATAATTCGACTTAATTTAACTAACTGTTGATGATTTTTCTTAAATAAATGTATGCTTATCTGAAATATATGTGACGTCATTCTAGTATATGCAATACAATTAGTAATAACAATTGATTTAATTAATTTGTTTGATTTAAATAACAAAAATATAAACTACTATTTTTTCGCCACATTCTCCATATTCTCTTCAGGTATCTTAAATTCGAAAGAGTATATCGAAATCAACGATCAATGGGCGTTTTGCCACTGATTTTGGCTGCGTTTGTCGGAGAAAAGGAAACAAGTGGCTGTGATAAACTGCCCAATGCTTCTCAAAGATTACACTTTGAGAATGTAGAGAGAGAGATAGAGAGCGAGAGAGTGAGAAAGCGAGAGAGAGAGAGAGAGAGAGAAAGCGAGAGAGAGAGAGAGAAAGTGTTTGTGATTTTGATACTCTTGTAGAAGATATTTCCACTTTTTTGTGAAATTTGTTACGCATTGATCGAGATGTCTCCGTCTCCATAAAGTAATTATATATATAAACTAATCCTCAGTTTTCAGGTCAAGTTTTGTCAAATGTTGTCATTTAGATGCAATTGGGAACAATTGGTCGGACGATGAGCTTTTGTATGAACAACTTTTTTGTTTTGTTCCGCAACAAAAACCATCGAGATTTTACTACTCTTTCAAAAAGCTTCCATAGAAACAAGTGGTCTGCAAGGGTATGCATATCTCGGCGTGCCTAAATAGCCGTTTCTTATTTTCTGTTTCTGTTATTGTATAATTTACTCTACACATACATACGTATACATATGTACATACATATGTGCTTTGTGCGTTGAGACTTCTCTTCTCTTCTTCGCCAACTTCTCACACTTCTGTTGTGTTTGCGTCGGCCTGCACGTAAATAAATTTCCTCTAATTTAATATTTTGTTTACATTATTTATTCATTTACTTATGTATCTCATGTGTCGCTCGCCCCGACTCCCTTCTCGCACCATGCCTTCTGTCTCAGCCTCTCTCTATGCCTCAGTGCCTCAGACTCTCTGCCGACACATTTGTTTATTTACGTGTTTCACCCCCACGCGGCGCTGTCGCATTCCCTGCTGTCGTCGCTGCTTTCATCTCTGCTCTCTTACTCTCAACCACTCTCTTGAGCAGAGCAATCAGGATGCGACTGATATTGCATAAAAGAGAGAGAGAGAGAGAGAGAGAGGGAGAGAGAGAGAGGGAGAGAGAGAGAGGGAGAGAGAGAGAGAGAGAGAGGGAGAGAGAGAGAGAGAGAGAGAGAGCTAGAGATAAGGAGTGTGAGAAAATTAATAGGAAACCGATCTCAAATAAGTCGTTAGGTTTGGTACAGTTAAAAAAAAACAAGACACCTATCATCAGTTCATTGAACTAATTTATGTGTGCAAGCAGTCTCAAGTAGCTATAAGATCTGCAGAAATTAGTCGAAGCTCGGCCATTTTTTGCACACATTTTGATTCATTATAAACGCTTCATACAAAATATTATTGAGATAATCTGCTACTCTTTTGGGAGGAGCTTCTGAGAATTTGTGGTTACTAAAATAAAAATGAAATAAAGAATTAAATATTTACTTTGTGCATTAAGATGAGTGTAATCTACATATACATTCTTATCTAAATTACTACTCAATTTACTTGTTAATGTTTGCAATTTGAAACCTGAGGCAACCTGCTTCTTTTTTCATAACTCCCTTATGTTTGATGCATCTGAATCATTTTATGGAAGTTGAATCAAATCTGGGGTCTGGTCTACAAATTATTATTAAAAAATTGAAAAATAATTCCGATGTAATCATTCAAAGTCAAATTTTGATTGAAAGAACGGTGTTGTGTTCCAAAATACAGATTTCAAATAGGCAAATCTTCAATTCGAAACGAAACGAGAAAGGTGACGATGTTCAGGACATAACGGGAAATAACATCAAATGTCGAAATTAAAGTCAAAACAAGGTTAGAATCGGAACGCAGCAAATGCAACGGTAAATGTGTGTAAATGTAACTGTGAATTTTGCGTGGGCGCATGGCCAAGGGCGCCGAGTGGTGACGCAGAGGGATGGCAGGGGGAGAAGGGCGAGGGGCGATGTGTTGTTGGCAGTTGCCGAACTGTTTAATTAGTTGTTTTTGCGATGCAGTGTGAAGCGCCCAAAAGCGCGCAGCAAAATCATGAATTGCTGCATTCTTACACACACATACAGACATTGAGCGAGACTTAACACTAACACACTAGACACACACACACACACCGCAGCAGCAGAGAGATTTACAGAGCATGGATAAGATACTGAAAGAGAGAGCGCATAAGCTGGAATTGTATGCAATGCAAATATACATATACATATGTATATATTTTTTTTTTGTGAATGCTTACCGCTGTCGACGCTGACGCTGATGCTGACTTTGGCGTCAGCTGCGCTGCTTCGAAATGTATGTATGAATTCTGTCTGTGATTTGTTGTTGTTCTTTCTGTTTGTTGTTTATATTTTCGTTTGTTTTTGTTTTTCTCTGCACTCAAAAATTTTTCACGTTTAGCATTTTTGTTTTTGTTATTGTTGCTGTAATCACTTGAAAAAATTGCAAACAAAAAAAATACATGTAGAAAAATGCCAGAGTTAGCAAGAAAAAGTTGTTTTATTTACACGCATGTAAAAAGTGTTTCTGCTTTTGTTTTTAATCACAAGAACAGCAACTCTGAGAACGAGCAGCGCCGCTCGTTTGTTATTGTTTATTTTTTCATTCTTTTTTGTTATTACAGGATTAGGCAGGAAAAATGCGCGTGCTTTAAGTTTTTTTGCTGTTGTTGTGCTGTTGTATGTTTTAACTTTTTCTTACTTCTTCTGTCTACTTTACTGTTTACTGGTCACTTTATTGCAAGAGTGCTGCGAGCTCTGCATCCGCCTCGTTTGAGTGTCGTTGGTGAACTGAACTTGCGTTTATTTACACGATGACGTTGTCGTAAGCGAACGAGCTTTAGCTTCAGCTTCAGCCCCATGCGAGCACACAAAAAAGCTCTACAAGTGCGACGACGACAGCAGCAGTGGCAGCAGCTGAACAATTTATGTGTTGTGCTTGCTGCTGCGTCTCACACTCGCGCCCAGCCCATTAAGGCTGCACTACTAATACAAACTTTACATTCAATAATATATTGATAAATTTGATTACAAAAATTCGTTTGTTAATGATCATTTTTTGGGATGGTTTGTTTTTAATTATTGAACATTCATTCAATAATAAAGTAAAAAATTTTAAGAGCAGAGCTAAAAACAAAATAAAATATAAAACAGTTTTCAACCATCGTTCTCTCTACTTCGTCAGACTGCATTGTGGCGTTAGCTTTCATGTCTCTATGTATTTGTGCGTGTGTGGGTGTGTGTGTGTAGAGTTGCTTGTGTTTTTGTTTGGTTTCCAAAGCTGGTGCTGGGCCAAAGCTTGGTTGCGTTCAAGGCATGGCCGGCACAGGTGCGAGCGAGATGCGGCACGTGCTCTTCCGACACATGGTAGTGTTGGGTAACGAGTAAAAGCACGTGAGCTGCTTGCACAGCGCATAACGGCAAAAGTTTACCGCTATTACAGCTGATAGAAGATAATGCCTCATGCTCGCTTATAAAACAGTTATGGATCAACTTCGATTCGTTTATTTTGCTCTTGTTGCTTATGCTCTGTTTGTTGACCTTACACCAAAGCAACGCAACGCAGCGCAAAGCAAAGCGACGCAGGCAAGCATCGTTAATACCGTTAACGTTGCCGTTACAGTTACAGATAGCGTCGGCCGGATTACACATTTAAGCTTTTGTGCCAATTGGCGTCATTGTTTGAGGTTTTGCGTGTGTATGTGTTGCCCGAAGTGTGTGCACGTGTGTCCTTCTGTGTGTCGCTTTTGACCCTGACAATGAGCGCCCTGCTGCGGCATTACTTGCTATGTATTCATTTAATTTAATTTGTATCAGCTTAAGCTATTTAACGAACAGCGCAAAAAAAAAACGGAAACGGAAAGGAAACAAAATACACTGCCAGAATATACATATATATAAATATACCTACATGTGTACTTGTAGATATGTATTTTGGGCTTATTTGTTGTCTAGTCTCAGCCTCATTGCTTAATGGCATTGACAATGGAAGGTACAGGGGTAGGGAATGGGGGACAAAGTCCTCGCTTTTGTTTTGCTTTTGTGGTGCTTTGAGTGTAACGCTAATTTGAGCCTTAAGTGGATTAATTTTGCTTTTCTGAAGGGGCTTCAGGGACACGCGAGTGCACATGGCTTACATCTTTGCAGGAAAGTTCGCCAGATTAATGGTGCAAGCTCAAGGTAACAACAAATCCAAAGCCAGCAATTAAATAGGAAACATTTTTTTTTTGATTTGCGCGCGCAACACTTCGCTATACAGTGCACGTTGTACAATCGATAACACATGCGACCGATTAGTCTCAGATGCGTGTATTATTTCGTAAGCTACTTTCTATTCTGACTTAGAGCTTGACTTGAATTAAAAAGTAATTTATTTACCTAACAGCGCAAAATTAAAGCATATTTATATTTACTCACTGTAGTAATAAGCGCCAACATTTCAAAACAAAGTCAATCATTTTTAAATTACGCGCGCAGTGCGATAACGGCTGTTACACGCAATCAATACAATTGGTTTTTTATTGTGCGGCTTATCGATAACAAGTAAGCTCGATTCTTTTTCGGTATCAGCTGTTATGGCATTTTTTAGTGATTTGTTGCAGTCGGCTTGCACAACCATTTTCAGCAGTTTTACAAAATAACTTTAAAGACATAAGCTGCAAAAAAATGCGCCTAACAAATGTCCTGTTTAAGAAAGTAAAGAGCAAGTAAGTGAATGCTTGTAAATCTAATTAGATTTCCATACACGATAATATTGATTTGCAGACGCATCATGGTTGTGCTGGAAAGCGTGGTCAGCGGCCATAAATTTAATGCATTTCGTGAGCGATTAGCGGAAAAACTGGAAGTAATACGCTTTGATCCATATAGTAAGTAACAAACCCCTTAATAGTTCTCATTAATATTATTATTATTGTACCTTTGCAGTACAACAGGATAGCTTATACCGCGAACGCAAGAGAATTCGCAGCGCTTAAGGAAAACGAGAGAAACAACAACCATTCAGCTATAATCGTTTCCCTCTTGTGGCCCTTTCCTATGCTGTAGTCTATGTCAAATAAATCTTATGTATGCTGCTTATAAGCTAAATGAAATGATGCCCAAATGTTGAGTTCCATTTTTGATGGCAAAATGTATTTTACTATACATTTAAGCTGCAAAAAAGTTGTAACTTTTGTCTTTACTTTATAACATTAGCTGTTTCCAACCAGAAGATTTCTTAGATAATACTTTTTGGCTGGCAACTGGAAGAGAAAGATACTTTCATTCAGACATTGTTAAATAGGAATAGGATAACCTGATTTGTAGGCTAAAGTAAAATGTATGACCATCAGTTATGCATAGATTGGAAGAGATATGTGATTGGTCTGACTTCTTCTGATCGGAAAATGTGACCTGTTCACTCTGAATGTTAATGATAGTCAATTGTTTGGTTTAATAAGTGACCTTAGGCCTAGCTTTATTTGAATATAATTATCGTGTTTTCAACTTTTTTGCTGCAAGTCCCAAAAGGGATCTTAATCACTTAATGGCTGAACAACCGATAGACACACAGACACAGATGATAATGCAAAGGGAATACAGGAATTCATAGAAGAGGTGGATGTGTGTGTGGTGCATGAATGGGAAATATATATATATGAATTAATTCTTTTTAAATGGCTCCTCGGTAATCAGCAGTCCACGCTCCCAGAGACCTGTGGCGGTATCCAAGCAATGCTCCACATTGGGCAGCGGCAATGAACTGATGCTCACATATTTGGGATAGCTGTTAATTAGCATCTTAATGGCATTCGCCTCCACTCGGTCGATCTCCATGAAGTTCGCCTCGTATTTGCAATACTCGAGAGCATTGTCCACGTAGTAGTAGAGACGGAGGCTGTTTTCCTCTTGGGCAACGAGTCGTACGATATTTTGGCGCAATAGACGGATTTTGGTCTGTTCCGTTAGGTCATAGTCGCAACGGCAGTTGCCATGCTTATCCTTTTTGTTGCGCGATCCGAAGACGGTGCGTTTCTTCTCCGAAGATGCAATGCGTGGCGGCAGCGCCTCATGCTGGAAACGAATTGCCAGCTGATCGACAGCGGCATCGATCTGTGACGCAGTGGGTGCTAAATATTTGCTGAATAGACTTTGGGTGTGCGTGATTAGATCGCTGCGTTCCTTCGTCTTTTTGTCGCCATGAACCATTCCCAGATGATGCCACGTTCCTAACGGCAAACCACGACGCATATCCAAATTATGCTTAATGGCGTTCTGGAGGACGGCGGGCATGAGGGCCTCCATAAGATTGGCATACGATTGCTGCTGATAGACGCTCAAGGTGATGTGCAGCGAATGATGCTGCTGCTCCGTCACAGCCTGATGGACACAGCCACGAGGGAAATAGAGTAGGTCCCCGGCCTCCAGTACCTCATCGAAAATGGGCTTGGATAGCTGCTGCTGTTTCAGGTTTCCCGATGAGGTGCGTGCAAGGACATCATTGGGACTGGGCGCATCATATAAGCGCCAACGTTTGCGTCCCTCCACCTGCAAAACGAATGCCTCAATGTCATCATAGTGTGGCGCGAATCCTTGACTATTCGGTGGCGTCAAATATACATTGGCGCCGACCAAGCAATGGAAATGCTCCTGCAGCGCCGCGCAAACGCCACGTAATCCCTTCAAATAGGTGCTGGGATTCAGGATGCGAACGCTGCAACCATCGCTGTAGTGGCCCCAAACAGTGGGCGGCATTGCGCGTCCATCAGGATTATGGGTTTGACGCACCCCATCCTTGTAGCTGGTCACATCAATGTTTGTGGTGAATTCCAGATGATTCTCGATCAGCATCTCATCAATCATTTCAAAGGATACCAGATCGGAGTACAAATCTTTACGCTTGCGCTTCACCTGACAAGCCTTGCTTTCCCAATAGCGACTGAAAAAATCATCGAGACTTAATGGATCGAGGAGCGCGCCTAAAACACATATGCCCCTCTCAACACTGTCCTCAACTCCGCCATTTTGGACTGACTCGACTTTTGCTTTCGGCTCTTGTTTCACCACTGCCACACCTTTGCCAGCGGCGGCCATCTTTTTTGGCAAGGGACAAGATTTGCGTTTCTCAGCTGTTGCTTTGCTGGGCATCGCAGATGACTTGATGGCAGCAGCATTGCCAGAAAGACGCAGCAGTGGGCAAGAAGGAGCTGCTGCTGGTGCTGATTTCCGTGAGCCCTTCTTCGACAGCTCCTTTCCTTCCTTTTGCTCTTGTGGTTGCAACTTTTGCTGTTTGACAGCCGGCGACTTGTTGTTGTTGTCGTCCATATCACCAGTGCTGCGCTTCTTTGGCGTCCGACTGGAAGTAGCAGCGGGTGGAGAATTTTCAGTGTTGCTACTGCCGCTGCTAGCAGAACAGGAGCAGGATCCGGAAGGACTGTTCAAAGTATACTCCTCAAATTCCTCGCCACTGCTCAGTTCGCTACCATAATCATCTTCATTGCTGCTGTGAGAGAGTTCCTCATTATCTTCGTCCTCATCGTAGCTGCTGTCGCTGGAATAGTCGTCAACGCTCTCGTCAGCCATTTTTGCAACTGAATTGGTTGCGCTGTCTTTCGTGGTCTGTGCCTTAGCGTTACCTTTGACGCCATTTGCTTTTGCTTTTCCTTTTGCACCGTTATTTTGCTTAACTGCACTTATTTTTGCTGGTGTACTAGTGGCCAAACTGTAAATGTTTGCCGCTTTCTGCTTTTGGCGATTCTGTTTTGTCGTCTTCTTTGCTGGTTTTTTGGCGGTTTTCTTCATGCCGTAGGCTACATACGCCGACATCTCGTCCATGTTTTTTTGCTTGGCGTGGGCGAAATAAAAGAAAATAAATGACCTAAACTATTTTCTGCGCGAAAGCCCTACACGTGCTCCTTCAACCAGACGGCATAAAAAGATAGAATGTCGCATCGATATCGATAACGCATATCGCAAAGACCAAAAATCGAATTCTACATTTTAGAATGCCCATTATACAAATGTAAACAGGCTGAAGTGCTAATATCGTGTGTGGGCTCCACGATAGTCATCGTTTCATCGATAGATTTCAGTGCTGTGTAGCACTTGCGTATGCACTATCGATAAGCGTTTGCCGGCGTTTCTTGTTTAGTTTTGTTTACTTGTGAAATTGTTGCGCCATGTCGGAGCCAGAGCTGGAGCCCGAAAACACGACGATAACTGAGGAGACAGTGCCCACCGTTGAGACAGGAACAGAGCCAAGCCCATTGCCGGAGTCTAGCAATGGATTGGCGGATGAGGACTTGGCTAACTTGGTGACAGCCGAGGAATATTTACTGCGCAAAGATGTCCAGCTGTTGGAATATGAAAAGCAAATGTTTCTCGATCTCGTGCACACAGATGGACTGCTTGTCTCTGCCAAGTAAGCGACAGAGAGAGTGAGAGAGGAAGCGTTATCTTAATCATCTTAATCTGTGCAGAGGTTTAGGCTATGAGCGCGTCCTGATGCACATTTTGAAGGTGTACAGCGATACTGGGAATCTGCTGCTGGTTGTCAACAGTTCCGATTGGGAGGAGCAGTACTACAAGTCCAAGCTGGATGCCAAATATGTGCACGAGGTGGCAAATACGGCCACCGAACGGTACGGCGATACACCAAGAAAAAGTAAAAACAACAAAAATAAAAACCAAACGAAATTCTTTATCTTCTCACAGTGAACGCGTCTATCTGGAGGGGGGATTGCAGTTTATTAGTACACGGATTTTGGTGGTTGATCTGCTCAAGCAGCGGATACCGATTGAGCTGATAACGGGAATTATTGTGCTGCGATCGCACAGCATCATTGAGAGCTGCCAGGAGGCGTTCGCATTGCGTTTGTTTCGTCAGCGCAATAAGACGGGCTTCATCAAGGCCTTCTCGAGCAGTCCGGAGGCATTCACCATTGGCTATGCGCACATCGAGCGCACCATGCGCAATCTGTTTGTGAAACACTTGTACATTTGGCCGCGTTTCCATGCCACAGTGCGTAGTGCACTGCATCCGTGGCAGGCGCAAACCATTGAGCTTCATGTGCCGCTCACGACACGAATGAGCTCGCTTCAAACCCATATACTGGACATCATGAATTTTCTGGTGCGCGAAATTAAGCGAATCAATCGCACCGTCGACATGGAGGCGGTCACCGTTGAGAATTGTGTGACCAAGAAGTTCCATAAGATCCTGCAGGCGCAGCTCGACTGCATCTGGCATCAGCTTAACTCGCAAACGAAGCTCATTGTGGCCGATTTGAAGATTCTGCGCAGTCTCATGATGTCCGTTGAGTAGAATTCTAAACTAAAATATGTATATATATTTTTGTTCTGTACTTGAATATTGTTTGGTATAGTTCCACGATGTACCATGATGCAGTGAGTTCATATGCTTTGATCAAACGCTATCGCAGCACAGAGTACGCCATCAGCAACTCCGGCTGGACACTGCTCGATGCCGCCGAACAAATCTTTACGCTCTCCAAGCAACGCGTCTACAATGCCCAAAATGGTGAGCAAGCCTAAAGAATCAAGAATCAGTGAGTTCTTCCAAACATATATATGCAACTTGTGTGTTCTCCAAGGTGTTGCTGTATGTTGTTATTTATATATATATAAAGCATAATTTTATTCGCACAGAATTCGAACCGGAACAGTGTCCCAAATGGCAGCCACTCAGCGAGCTGCTTACCAAGGATATACCCGGCGATATGCGACGTCGCCGTGGCGCTGATCATCTGGAGCCACCGAAGGTGTTGATTCTCTGTCAGGATGCGCGCACTTGCTACCAGCTGAAGCAGTATCTGACGCAGGGCAGCGCACGCTATCTGCTGCAGCAGGCAATGCGGCACGAGGTGCTCGTGGGCAAGCTGAGCGAGGCGCTGGCCAAGGACAGTCAAACGACAGCAATGGCAGAGGACACCGGTCACAACCAAACGGATGTGGCGAAAACGGAAGTGAAAACAGAGCCGGATGTAGCACAACATTCTTTGGATGAGCTCTCACAGTTGCTAAGCGAAACGGATGCAGAGGCGCAATTGATGCAACAGCAACAGCAGCATCTCTTCGAGGAGAGCTACATGCTGACAATGACGCAGCCCATATTATTGCCCACAAGCGAACCCGATCCGAATGCCTCAATTTTTGAGATAATACCAGAGTTGGAGCAGTTCGATGTTTCAGCGGCATTGGCTGCACATCGGCAGCCCTGCATTTGTCTGCAGACATTCAAGACGGAGCGTGAGGGCGCCATGGCCCTGGAGCACATGCTCGATCAGCTGCAGCCCCATTATGTTGTCATGTATAATACGAATGTGACGGCCATTCGGCAGCTGGAGGTCTTTGAGGCACGACGCCGTCTGCCACCAGCCGAACGCATGCGAATCTATTTTCTAATCCATGCACGCACCGTCGAGGAGCAATCCTATTTAACCAGTCTGCGTCGCGAGAAGTCCGCCTTCGAACTGATCATCGACACAAAGAGCGTGAGTAAAGCCTAAAATCCATTGTCGGATTAACTGGTGACAAGAGGGGGAAACGGAAGAGTTGCATTTTGAAATCTTTGGAAAGTGGGTAAAAATAAATTAAGCAAAAAATTCAAAATTGAATCCAAAGGACAAATCAAAAACACAATTGTCATTTGAAAGTCCTTGTCAAAATTGTTAGAGCTATAGTCTGGAATAATTGTATTCGAAATTTTAGATATCGAATTTATAGTGAAACGTATTCATATATATATATCTATACCAGATATCTATATTCCAATGTTTATCATTTTCCAGAAAATGGTTATACCCGAGTATCAAGATGGCAAAACGGACGAAGCCTTTGTGCTGTACAAGAGCTACGAGGATGAGGATGCAAATTCCGCAAATGCGAACGCAAAGACTCGGCAGGGCGCCACAATGGGCGTGGCATTGAACGCTGCTCGCGTAACACCCAAAGTGATTGTGGATATGCGTGAATTTCGATCGGATTTGCCATGCCTGATCCATCGTCGTGGATTGGAGGTGCTGCCGGTGACAATAACTATCGGTGACTATATACTAACGCCCGATATATGCGTTGAGCGTAAATCTATATCGGATCTGATTGGTTCACTCAACTCGGGTCGCCTATACAATCAGTGTGTCCAAATGCAACGCTACTATGCGAAGCCCATCCTACTGATTGAATTCGATCAGAATCGTCCGTTCCATTTGCAGGGCAAATTTATGCTCTCACAGCAGACGACGGCGACCAATGCGGATATCGTACAGAAACTGCAGCTGCTCACACTCCATTTTCCCAAGCTGCGTCTGATCTGGTCACCCAGTCCGTATGCGACGGCTCAGCTGTTTGAGGAGCTTAAATTGGGCAAATCAGAACCGGATGCCCAGGTGGCCGCCGCCGTGGGCAGCGAGGAATCTAGTGCGGCCGCTAGCAGCGAACAGCTGCAGTATAACAATGCCATTCATGATTTTTTGCTACGTCTGCCTGGCGTGCATACGAGAAATGTCCATGGAGTGCTCCGCAAGGGCGGCAGTCTGCGTCAGTTGCTGCAGCGCACTCAGGCGGAGCTCTCGGATCTGCTGCAGTCACAGGAGAGCGGCAAGCTGCTCTGGGACATACTGCATGTGGCCCATCTGCCCGAAAAGGATGAGGTTGCCGGCTCTACGGCTTTGCTGGTCGCCAGCAAACAATTTACCAGCGGCTCCCACAATCGCTTCCGCAAAGCCGCCGGCGAAGCCAGACGCGGCAGACGTTGAACGCATGGATGAGGAATGAGCAGGTAAACAAGATAGTTCCTTGCCGCACATTAAATACTCTTACAGACATCTATTCTATATTCATTCGGAACATTTACCAGAAACACCATTTTTTTTTCTTCTTAGCATCAAAGAAGAGTATTTCAAACAAGAAACCAACTTTTGATGTTAACAATATAACGATGATCCTATATGTATATATATGTATATATAAATGTCTCCATGAAAGATGAATGCCACTCTGGCAAGGGTATACAAATTATGAAAACACACAACACAGAAACAACACTTAACGTTTCAATTAACTTTGATGACAGCAGCAAGCAGCAGCAGCAGCAGCAGCCGTATAGAGGAAGGTGGAAGGCAATTGTCTGGCCAATGGGAGCAGCTGCAAATGCTGCTGGACACACTGTTGACCCATGGCAGACAGCCAGTGGGATTGGAACAGCGAGCGACAGTAAAATCAATTCGAATGCATTTTTAATGTCGTTTGGCAGCAACCCCAACATCAGCGACAACTCTACACAAACAACTGAACTGAACCCAACTGACTCATTTCAACGGCTCCCCAGCGTACAGCACATAAATGTTTATAAAGCATTATTTATTGTCCCATTTTAAAGCACAATTCCAGTTAAATTCAACCAATTTTCATATTCATGTTCATATGCGTTTCATATTAATTATCTCATCTATTCGGGTTTTTTTTATTGCTCATAAAATTCCTATATTATATTTATATATATATATATATTGTTATATTGACAAGCAAACTCAATTAGTTGTTGCAGCTTGCTTGTCTCGAAATTGTAATGAAATGATAAATGATTACAAATCCACAATAACAACAAATAACTTGGAATATATTCGTATTTTTACTGTAGACAGCACATGAGTCGATGCCATTCGGATAGGACTATTACATCGGGTTACTATATCATATAGCTACCATAAAAACAATATATCGAAACTGGGGTTCTTAAATGAAAAAACCTTTTCTGTAGAACAAGATACTTAAACGAAAAATACTCAATACAAAATTATCAATACAACTCAATTATTTAAAATAATTTATATACTTACCGGTCTATGGACAGGACACTGTAGACTAAGAATTCGCCTAACTAAATTAGGTATATATTGTAACGATCTGTGCAGGTTTTGTGAAAGAAAGGAGGAGTCCTCAATGCACTTCCCAGCAGAATGTGTCGCGTTAACTAGTAGAAGAAGATGCGGCATTCTAGGGATGCATGCTATGAATTTCAGAGACATGGAAGACCTCAATCCCCTCAACAAAGATTCTCACATGCGTGGGAACTGGGGCTGATGGAAGAGCTAGGAAGAGGGGGGCACAATAGATCGAGTAGGTCGCGGTGCAATCCACCCGCTCCATAATTAGAAATAGTAATAAAAGCTTATAAAACTATTGTGATAGCAATTTTCATATTTGTATATCATATATAGCTATATCATATACAATAAAAATACTTGAAAAATATGGTAAATAGATGTAGAGTTTTCAAAAAGATCAATCTTGTTTGACTTTGTTTAAGTGTGCTTTTGTGAATGTTTTTTTTTGTTGTTTTATTTTGAACTTGCATAAAGGTTTGCTGATGTTGTTGTTGTTGCTGTTGCCATCGATGTTTGTTGTTTTTGATGAATGGCAATGGATTTGGTGCCGTGGGGCGAATATCAAAGCATTTTTGCCAATCGCTGCGCTTTGATGGACACCGTCAAAATCGCTCTCCCCGCCCCCAACTTACATTGAGCGAAATCTGGTGTGGAATAATTAATTATGTGCAATTCGCACTTAAGAAGAAACATAGTGATTTACTTTAAAGAAATAAGAAAAATATGACTAGAATCAAGTACAAAATACTCAGCACAAGTTGGAAATGTTGGGTTGGAAATTGTCGATTTTTGTTCTCAGTGTATATCTGTTTGTGATCCATTCCAGTTACAGTCGAAAAATGGTCGAAACAAACAACTGGCCTGAATTGAGTCGCAATTAACGAACTGATTTCTTGGCTTGTTTTCCTGATGCTTTTGCGAATACGGATGCAGAGACTGATTCCCGTTTCTGATTCGGTTTTTGGTTTGAGCCAACAGCACACCACCCTTCAGTCTCGCCTGCCACACTATGGAACTTGGCTGGTCAGAGTGGGTCCTTTTGTATGGAAACCATTTGCTATCGGGCACAATACGCTTAATTTCGATGCTTGCCCGCTTTGGCCACAACAAACGCCAATTGAGGAGTACCAACAGAGCAGAACGGTTCCACTAGTCAGAGCTGACCCTGCACAGCTGCTCCTCCTCTCATCATAGCCACCTTCATGCCCAGCCAGCACACTGGGCCAGCATGCTCGATTTTTTTGACATAAGTTCAACAATTTTTCTTTGCAAATAAACAATCATTTGAATTAATTACAAATACTTTATTGAAATCAGATGATAAAGTAGGCTGATGTCAACGATTTTTAATCGCATACTTTAAACTTATAAAACAAAAAAGTTTCTTTTAAATAAAAGCAAATCTTTCGAACGATATAACAGCTATTTGATGGTTAGTAGTTCGATATCGATCGTTTCTTTTGGTAATTTTTTATTTATTGATTGATGTAAAAGTTTTCCAATTTATGACAAAATAATGTCGATTGGCCCAGTGTGGCGAGGGCAAGGGCAAATAGAATTTGAATGGGGCCTTTTGATTTTGGCGCATTTTGTTTTAGTCCTTTGAGCGCAAATGCAAAATGCCAGTGTGCATATTTCATTGTTGGCTTCTCGTCCAACTAAAACTCGAGCAGGCTTTTTTTTTTTTTTGAAAATTTTCCGATATATTCAAATGTGGCTTGCATCGATTCCAGTTTGCAAATACCAATGAAGTTATTGGGCAAATATTTTCCTAGTTTTTAAAATACAACACTTTAATACAGGTGAAATAAGCATTGCTTTTTTTTTTTGCATATGTTTTGGAATTAAGAACTGGACGCTTAATCGACTCAAATTAAACTTTTAAAAATGTATGTCGGCTTGATAAAATGCATCAATTGTTATTGATGTCGATGGTCAACTAACAATTCATATTCATAAATTACATGTGATTAAATTTAATTGCAATTATTATGAAATGCAGCGAAATTGTAGCTGTACGCCGAACAATCTAATTGAAAGCATTACTATAGCCTTCAGCTAAGCATTTTATTAAATAAGTTGTAATCCAAAACACAAACAACAAAAAAAACATAGCAAATAAAATAATTGTAATTGGCAGTCGAGCTACAAAATCACAAAAAGCAAACATTGAGACAATGGAAGAGTTGATAATTATGGGCAAATTAATTAGTAAAATATACACAGATATAAATTAAGTAAAAAATCAAATGAATTGAATTAAAATATAGCATTTTGATGCTAGACTTGAATTGATATGATTTCGTGTTATTTTCGTTGGAATGTGATGGAGGAGGGCAGGGTGTGAGGAGGAGGGCAAGGTCTCATTTCCCATTGTAAATTACTGCATGGCATGCAATTATTTTATTGCATATCCTGTGCGCGAATGGAATTCCATTAGTCAAAGTCAAAGCCCCAAATCGAGGCACATTTGTCAGGGCCATCAAGGCGGGCAATCGATTTTTGGCGCAAATTCATTAGATAAACGCAAATTGTTGAGCAATTTGACACATTGCATAGGCCAAAACGCAACGTTTCGATGCGCCCACCATCAGCGAGGTGTCATCGAGTAGTAGTTACAGCAAACGATATGTTCAACTTAAGTTATTCCTGAGCTCTGGCCTTATTTTAATGTTTACTATTTATTTACTATTTTTGTCTATAGCATACACTTTATCGACTTAAAATAATGAAAAATTTATAATTTGTTTAGCTCGATTAGTTATCAAGCTGACCTCGCCAACTCACACACACACACACATACATATCTCGTCTAGGTGAAGTGTCCTGCTTGAAATAAGTTCCAGTTGAGGGCTCAAATATTAGTTACACAACAGAAGCTGGCGTTCAGTTGAATAATATAAAATAATTTATGTACCATTTATATAATTATTCAATAAAGTTAGGGCCCCATAAAAACTGTGATTTACATATTCTATAATCCGAATTAAAAGCAATTTTCAAAACAGTTTAGCATTTAATCAGAGTGTTGTGTTGTGTGTGTGTATCTGTGTGTCACACCGAATTACAAGTGGTCGCTTAAGAAAATTTTCAATTACATGAAAGCGAAGAGGGAAAAGCTGGCAAAAGAGCAGGAACTAAAACTGAAATTCGGAACTTTAAGCTGAAAACTTTAAGCGTATTTTGGCCCCAATCGCAAATGACAAATCTTAAAGTCTGCAAGGCAAACAGCAATCACAGCGCCAAATGGCCAACAACAACAACAACAACAGCAGCAGCAACAACAACAAAACCAAAAACGAGAAGAAGACTAAAAGGAACAAGAACAACAAGACAAATAGGCCAACGGGCAAACATTGTTGAAAATAGCCAAAATGGCGTAAAACGCCAGTTTAACTGCACTCGGTGTAAATGCTAACGAAATAATCGCCGAGCGCCATCTAGCGTCGAGGTGCAGGAGCGTGGGCAAGAGAAAAAGACCCCAAACAAACCGAGGCGCAACAACAACAAATAATAATCATGAGCATAAACATTAGATGTTCACTGGGACCCCTTAATAAAAATAACAACAACAACAAAAATAAATACAAAAAATACAAGTGCTTTTAAGCCTCTGCCCAGGCGACTGACTTTGGAAGTCGGCGTGGTGGATGGGGTGGGAGGGTCTCCGAAATTGGCTGCTTGTCGCTAAGCCAGGACAGGAAGCTGGTAGGTAGCGTCTTGATAACAAACAAAATGCCATTAACCATCTCTTAGAAAATTGAATTTCCCTTACAAACTTTCGAGAATTTAATTTAAGTATTTGAATAATAATTGTATAAGTGATAGGTGTTTATTTTTGTTGGTAACATTTTATTTTTTGTTATATTCCGCAACATATTTATGTGTATAGAAAATATATAAATAAACATAAAACGAGCAAAATGATCTAGATTTCATATAAGCAAGCTACGAACCCCAACTCAACTAGCCACAAAAAAAAGAAGGAAAACCAAACAAAAATAAAACTTTTGACACTCAAAATTCATAAGAATATCGCAGAGCTTTCAAAAATTGGACAATGTCAAGATATGCCTACAGTGATCTTATACTTGAGGCATTTATAGAGTTCCAGCGTTCCATGACCATGGATGAGATAGTCGAATATGTGGCCGAGATGAGCGACAGTTCGGCTTGTGAAGTTCGTTTACAGGTGGATAATACCCTAACAGCTGCATGGCTGCATGGCTTTGTCGAGCGCGACAACGATCTATATTCGTTGGCACAAAAAGTAAAACGTCTCCCGAGTGATTCCAATCTGGCGTACAGATAGCAAACCCTACCTCATATAATGCAGTAATGATTACGTACAAACATTTAACCATTTTGATCAAGCAATATCCCATAGAGTTATTAGAAAAATATCTAATATTTAAACTAATATTAAATGATGACAGAGCTTTGCCGAGTTAAGCATAATGAGTTTTTCAAGTTCGTAAAAGTTTTGTATATTTTTCAGTTGGTGAACATGCGCTGCCAATGCCAATTCCAGTGCGACAGCCAGGTTACAGCAGATTCACATGTCAAATCTCTTTTTGTGTTAATATAGACAGAACAGCAACATTATGTTGTTTGAAGGCGTCATTGTTGTCACTAGATTCCAGCGACTTACTCCTGCTTAAGCAGAGAGAGAGAGAGAGAGAGAGAGAGGGGTCGAGTGTGGGGGGTAGAAATAACAAAACGCAGTAAGTAAGTAAGTAAGTAATATGAACTTAGTAGGCGTGTGAAGTGCACACTTAATGGGCTATTGCCTGCGGGTGGATGGCTAAGGTGTAGCGTTGGCAGTGGGGGGGGGGGGGGAATTTTATTTGCAACTCGTGTCACTCACACCACTTCACTGTGCTACACAGTCAAAGCACATCCCATTCCAGCATCAGCTCCAGTTCCAGCTGCAGTTTGAGTTCCAGTTCCACTCCACGCACACGCCTAAGTGCGGAAGCATGTTCAAGTGTGTTGAAAATGGAAAGCAATGTGTTACTATTTCTCCTCTTCATCTATTCATCTCTCCATCGCTCTCACTCGCCTTGCCATCTCATCTACTCCATTTAAGAATACCCTGTATGCGTACTTATCGTGGATAACATGCATTAAAAAACAAAAAAAAAAAAAAAAACGGTACACAATTGTGCAACATATTAAGCAAATGGACTTGTCGAGAAGTTCGAATTGTTATTTAATAAAAATACATATTGATGATCAAGCTGTGTCGATATTCTTTCATTCAGATATCCATTCACCTTCAGTTACAGATTCATCTTCAAAATTCGCAACGATCGAACTATGGGGCACATTCTCGTATGCTTGATAGTTTCTATTTCTTAATTTTCTGATTTTTTTTTTATTTATATATATGTACATGTGCATGTATGTACATATATATATATATTTAATTTTTATTGTCGCTCGCTGCATGTGCTGCTGCGATGACGTCACTCCCTTGCGTCCCAGTTCAGACATTTGATGACACAAAGCGGCACAAAGTTGCCGGATGGCAAAGGCAACGGCAAAGGCAAAGGAGCAGCAGCCCTGACGTTGACATTAGCTTCTTTTTTTTGTTTGTGCTGTTGCGGGGGGTGTGACGAAATGGCAAAAGGGGTGTCTATTTCTCGAATATGTCAGTACTTGCCATGGAGCCATGGATAACCTGCTGTGTCCTGTTGGCATGTTGTCCTGGGCAGGATGTCAGGACGTTAGCACATCAGGGACTTGGCTGGCAGCGCAGCTGTAACTGTATCTGGGGTAGAGCATTTGGTATCAGCATTTGGCAGCAGGGGCAGCAGCGACTTTAAAATGCAACATTTATGTACATTTATGTATGTCGTTGCACATCGCATGTTTGGACATGATGTTGTATGTACGTGACATTTTGCCAGCCCAAGACTAAGAACCGGATATGCCTCTCGCTCTTTGTCTTTGAACGTTAACGTTTTGCTCATCGTTTCTATCAGCGACAGTAACTAAATGCAAACAGTGCCTAACATAAGTCAGCTGACAAAGCAACGATAATTGGAGGGAATGGAATGGGAATGCATTCAATGCTCGCAACATAAATACAAATGTTGCACACAAAGCAAAAGCAGCGAAACATTAAATCAAGAATATATTATTTATATTTACATTTATCGTATTGATTCAATTTCACGATTGCGCTCGAGCCCACTTGAAAAGCTACCAAATTGCTTTTAGTTGCATTGCAAACATCAGCCACTACCTAAACCCCCCCAAACCCACCGCCTTCACACACACACATACACACCTAACATACACACACACACACACACACACACAAGGGAGGGCCTCGTGCGCTGTCTGGCGCTGTCTGACTTGGCTGACAAGGACAGGGCTACAAGACAAGGACGCATTTTAAGGTTTGTGCTTGCTGCAAAAGTTGTTCGTTGTCTTTTCACGTTGCGTGCTAAAAAATTTACATCAAACCATAATCGATTTAGTTTGTTTTTCTAACGGCACAACACACAGCCACCCCGCATACCTCTTGAGGACTCCAGCCCCCTTCCACTGATGCACCCAGCAACCCCTCGACAAGACATAGACAAAACTCAGTGCTGCAAATTTAATTACGTCACAATGGACAAGGAACGAGAGGCACATAGAAGCCCATCACAGACAAAACAGCAAATGGCAAACAGGGTGTGTGGAGGCGGACGACGAGCGGGTGGAGCGGGGAACAGCATGTGGAGCGGTGGGTGGTGCGTTCCTTAGTTGGCAACAACGGGCGGACAAGGAAAGCGCCACATTTTCGAACATTAACGAAATGCTTTTAATTGTGCACTTAACGCTCGTAAAATGTGATTTAATAGTTTTTTTGTTGTTTTTTGTTTTTTTTTTGGACTTGGGTGGAGCAAATGGTGCAGGCAGCCAGGAAAGGTGAGGCAGGGTTTGGTTTGCTGGGTTTGCTAGTTGTTTGGCGTCCAGAGGAAACGGAAGTGGAGCGCGCTATAAGTGTCCGATTTAAGCTGACACTGACAGCCCAATTCGAACGGAATGAACGAAAACGAATCCCCCTCCATCCCTCTCCAACCCCTTCAAGAGCAACACCTTTGCACACATACAGTGAGAGATATGTTTTTGAAACCCAATCACAGTATTAAGGTATTCATAACAAATGTATTGCGATTTAACATTTCAAAAAAAGAAGTCTTGAAAAATGTCTTCAGTGAAATGTGAAATCATCTTGAATATTTTAAATAAATTTTTCTTATTTCTTATAATAGCAATTACATTATTCTGGATCAGTCGAAATTCATTTGAGTACGACATATTTCTCTTTGTGTAGTTTAACTGCCTGAGTTTTCGCTTTTCGAATAATGCCGTCGTTGAATTTGGGGAATTTGCGGCAAATGTGCAAAAGGGCCAACAACACAAGCGAATTGTTGGCCATTTCTTGCAAATGGCGCAGGTCAACTTTTGATCGTGACATTGCCAACTGACTTGCTGGCATTTTAGTAATACAACTAATTTGTGTTAAAATTCCTCAGGTGTCAAATATGCGGTGCAGAAAATTTGAGTTTGGAGTCACTATGGGACTGATTGGATTGCGGCCAAAAGTGGAAAATCAATCACAAAAATTGCTGCCTTTCTGCCTGCTTCACATAACCGGAAATAAAGCTGCCCATTTACAGAGGGTCATATCCGTGCATGAATAAAATATATAATTATAGATAGAATATGCTCAGAATAATCGTTAATAAAGCAGGCCAAGTTTGTTGATGTAACACTGTCAAAAAGCAGATCGAGAAATATATCGATAATTAAAAAAGGCGAAATACATTTAAATTGGAGACGACAACCACTATGTATACCACTTTCACCTTCCATCACTAATTGTCGTTTTGCATTTAAATTGTATTTAAAAACGAAGACACTAAAAAAGACTCCTCGTGTCTATTGCAGTTCAAAGATAACCATTACAAAACTAAACTCGTTAATGTGCGTAACGAAAGTGAAACATCGGTTAACCGCCCATCTCCAATTCATACGGATACTGACAGACATAAATGTGTTTGTGATCAATGACAAAGCTTCAATCGTTAATTCTGTTGAAATCGTAGAAGCGCACAGATCCTGCTATTTGTCATCTCGGTTCTCTATTATTGCATATTATATTGTAATAACAGCTGCGGAATATATGTGTCCATAAATGGTAAGAAAACATTTACATTTACTTGTCGTCTGTTATTTTTTGAAATGGCGATGGCAGCTACTCAGTATTCGGTGCTTGATGCCTGCAGGTATATATAAATATACATATACATTTATGTATGTATATATATATATATATATATTTGTGTGTGTATTAATTTTTCAGAGCTCACCGAATATTTTTCTTTTGATTCTAGGAGCCATTGGCGCTGGAATACAAAATAAATCACGTCCAATGATATTTTTCCGCTCGCTTTGCTTCTTTTTGACTGGCCTGCGGCGAAATCATTTCATTTTTTGAACGCCAATACGCTTATTGGCATACCATGTGAGTGGATAACCCAGGCCACACAATAAGCCACACAATTTGCACAGAGAAATATAAAAAATTAATAAATGCCTCCCTAAGTGGTGTGGGTACGATGTGTGTGAGTGTGTGTGTGTGTGTGTGTGTGTGGCTGTGTGTGTGTGTGCAGCCGACCTTGTGTTTTGCCATGTTTGCCGGCAACTGCAACTGCAACTGCAATTGCAGAATAGCGTTCTCTATCAACTTCTCTGCGACAAGCTAGATTGCCAATCAAGCGAAGAAGAACCTCGACTCAAACTGCAAGATCCAAACTCCTGGCACCGGTTGCCACTCCAACCACCACATTTATCCCATTTCTTGCCGGCCTTTAAGTAATACAACTAATTTGTGTTAAAATTCCATTAGTGCCAAATATGCAGTGCAGAAAATTTGGGTTTGGAGTCACTATGGGACTGATTGGATTGCGGCCAAAAGTGGAAAATCAATCACAAAAATCGCTGCCTTGCTGCCTGCTTGACATAACCGGAAACACAGCTGCCCATTCACAGTGGGCCATATCCGTGCATGAATATAATAGAGTAATTTTTTGGTTTAAGCTACGGCTAAGTAAGGAATGTTCCAGAAAGTATTTTATATTTCAATACAATTTGATATATTTTCGGCATCATGTTATGCAATCAATTTAATTTCATGGGCAAACTGAACGTTTAGCGTTTTAGAGACGATACTTCATTATTCGACAGAATATGCTCAAAACAATCGTTAATAAAGCAGGCCAAGTTTGTAGATGAAACACTGTCAAGAAGCAGATCGAGAAATATATTGATAATTAAAAATGGCGAAATACATTTACATTGAAGGGTGGCAAAATTGGCCAATTGTGGTATGCCCGCGGGCGTGTTCCCTTAATTGAAAGGAAGCTGCTGGATATTAATGGATATCGTGGATGCCCGTGCTTCAGAATTGATTGAAAGTTTACATTGAATTCGCCAACGCTAATTCGACGAAGATTTGTTAATTGCACGAGTTGGATTCAATCGCGATTAAAATTGTAGATTGCATTTGATACAAAATATATATTTATTACATGTTTTTTATTTTTGTTTTTTACAGTACAACAACAGCGATTAAACTCAAATCTATTACGTCACAAATTTGATCTTAGTAAAGAGCTCAAGTCGTACAAGAAATACAAAATCATGGCTGAGGGTAATCACAATATATGCGACTCCCACATGCAGGTGAAGGAAGAGGCCGATGAGGAGAGGTTGTATATTGATGTTGATGTGGTTGGTATTGACGTGGTAAAGTTTATCCGCATGAGTGAAAATCACGACAGCGTCCAGGTGAAGAGGATCAATGAAAACAGCGTCCGGATGGAGGATTTGAACGACAGCAGCGTCCAGATCGTGGAGGAGATTAGCAGCACAAGTGAAGATGACAGAGAGAACGTGGAGGCGGGTGAAGATCGTTTGCTGTCTGGCATCAATGACTGCAGCGTCCAGATGGATGAGACAAAAAATAAGTAAACCGCACTATCTGAGCTGGAACGCGTAACTGACAACTGTGTATATGTACACACATATTTATCTATTTACATATTTATGTCAGTTAACGCAAAAGCAAAAGTTTAGAGAAAAGAAGTGCAAAATTAAATTAAAGAAATTAAAAACAAAAAGCGCAAACGCGAACACACAAAGTAAAAGCCAAACGATATCAACAAACAACAAAGTTAAGAGTTGAAGCAAACTGAGACCAGAAACTTGCCACAACTACTTAGCGTCAGTGGCAGCCGCTTTAAATGGTCAATGGTTGGGCTGCTGGGCTAGACTACACTCGGCAAAAATATTTGAGCTAGAATTTGAGTAAATTAGAGCAGACATCAGTTTTGTTTTCTTTGATGTTGCTTAATTGATTTCCTAAAGCGAATACTATTTTTTATTGTCTTGAATATCTTGGAACTTTAACTGCTGGTCATATTATTTTGGCTATATTATTTTCTGAGTGTACCCACCACTTACCACCGGGCACAGTAAAAAGCCGCATTCTGTTGAAACTCAGCCTCAGATATAATGAATGGCGGGCCACAAGCCATGTCTGGCCTTGAAGGGGCTTTCGACCGGAGACCGGGGACCGGGGACCGGCGACCAGTAAATTAAATGGAATGGCGAAAAGCGTAAACTAAAATGGCGCACACCATTTTGTTTTGGTTTCGGTTTTTGTTTATGCTCTTTCTTTATTTTTTTTTTTGGTTGTTTGAAATATATAAACACAATAAATATAACAAATAATAAAAGCGCTGCCAAATGTTTGGGCTGTAAAAATTGTTAACGACCACTAAAGGAAAACCGCGACAACACGCAGCGGCGAGTACAGCAACAACGAAGGGTAAAATGCTGTGCGTGTGTGTGTATGTGTATATGTGTGTGTGTGTATGTGTGTGTGTGTGTGTGTGTTGCTTGTTTGTTAACCGGAAGTTTGCGGTTAGGCGACAGACTCGTCGCCATATTGTGAATGTTTATGCGGTCGTCTACAAACAATTTCATGTGCACCCAAATAAAATAGTGATCGGGCAGAAGGGGTTAGGAGGCCCCCAATTAACAGTCTATGCCTATGCCGAATATTTGGTTATTTAGCGCAATGGAATATATAGAATTATATGTATTACAATAGAATTGCTTCATTTTTTTGGCGAGCATCCAGAATAGATTTGCAATTGCTTTCTCAGGTTCATACTCTCTCTGTACGATTTATTGAATTCAAATCGAAATCGCAGCCGCCAATAAAATATGGCTGGACAATTATTGGAAGCAAAGGCAGATATTGCTGCAAACGGATGAGAATTGAAAAATTATGCTAATTTCTTGGCGGCCGACATACAATTGGGAGGATAGACATCGAAAAGAGGTAGGAAAGCCCCAAAAGGCTTGGTTTAGTTCTCTCCTGCATTCCAGCACGTTGGCAATTTATTAGGACAACTCCCACCTCTGCCACCATTTCGGTGGCAGACACTATTTAGAAATACAATACATGCAGACGGCGCTTGGAATGCAACCCCAGGCCAGGCCAAAGATTACGGGGATGGCGTCGTGAAATTCTGGACCAAAAGCCGTCGCTTCCGTGATTAATGCCCGTCGTGGGCTTTTGTGCCGGCGGGCAAAATTTTTGTGTAATCTACTTTAAAGCTGGGCAGCATTGCATAATTTTTTGGATGCAGTCTGGCGACTTACATAAGGCCATCCATTTTTTTTTTCATCTCTCTTCTTCTACAGCTCCTGCATCCTTACTTGCTGCTTTTTGCATGCCATTTGGAGAGCAGAACAGCTGGCGGTGGATTAGTTAGAACCTGGCAACAGGGCAACTCTCTAAGTGGCCCGGCCAGGAGACGCAGATACCCCAGAATAAATGGGGCCAAAATAAATAATAAGTGTTGGGCGAAGAAGGATAGGGAGGGGCTTACGGCAACACTCAGCACTGCCTGAAGCCTGCAGACATGATTCTGGCCTTAAAAAAAAAATATATATATATGCATATGAAAGTATATGCTAGCCAGAAACGGGAAAATTATGGCTTATTCAGATATTAAGTGAAGGTAAGTGTGTGGTAAGCTCATGTTTATTACATTCAGCTAGTTGTTTTATCTTCAGCAGTTGGGCCTAGGCAGAGGAAAGCTTAGACAAATTTATATAGGCACTGGTACAAATGAAAATGTCATGGTTGAAATTAGTGGTAATTGATTCTATTATTCCTATGGCAGCCATATGTTACACTGATCCAATCCGGTATATTCCAACATATGCACAACATGCAGCGCGGCACGTTTCATCAAGATATATTCAAAACTGAGGGACTAGTTTGCGTAGAAACAGACGGACTTGGCTATATCAACTCGGCTAGTGATGCTGATCAAAAATATATATATTCTTTTTGTTGATAGAGACGTCTCCTTTAAAAAATGTGATGTTATCAAGCATTTGAAATGAATATTGCGTGCATGACGTCACAGTTTAAGCCATTTTGCGAGTGGCCATTTCGAAGTGGCAAATGTTCAATTACAGCACATACATACACTGTATCAAGAAAGTTAATACAACTTGTTAATTGGTTTTTGGTTAAAATGGTTGTAGGAGCTCCATAGAGTTGCAGAATAATATAGCAGACTATAATAAAATCATTTTTTCACAAAATATGAATTTTTTCCAGTGTCAAAACACTTTCTGGCCATTTTACACATTGAAAGGACGCATCAAATTTAAGAATTTATTTTTCGTTGTGTTTTTTAGTACATTTTCTTCATCTTAATCGATACGTTGTCTTTGTTTTTGTCCCGCGGTGTACGTTGAGTTCTTAGGTAACAAAATATTTGAGCTACTTGCGCCGCTGGTCGCCATTTTGGCGTCGATTAAAATATGGTTGTTGCTCTTTTGCTGTTGCGCTGTTATACATTGCCTGTCGAAAGCACCAATATATCGCTCAGCCGGCTAGCTATCGACTCAGGGGTAGTTCGACCGCGATATATTGGGCGACAAGTTAACAACAATTTTTTATTCTTTTATAAATAAAAAAACATATATTTCCATCAAACCAGTCCGCTCGCTGCCTCTCTCTGCTGTCCCTCCCTTCCTAGTGATTCCTCCTCTAAATTTCCTGGAGAAATTCCCCTTGCCGTTTTGCATTTAAATTGAATTTAAAAACGAAGACACTAAAAAAGACTCCTCGTGTCTATTGCAGTTCAAAGATAACCATTACAAAACTAAACTCGTTAATGTGCGTAACGAAAGTGAAACATCGGTTAACCGCCCATCTCCAATTCATACGGATACTGACAGACATAAATGTGTTTGTGATCAATGACAAAGCTTCAATCGTTAATTCTCTTGAAATCGTAGAAGCGCACAGATCCTGCTATTTGTCATCTCGGTTCTCTATTATTGCATATTATATTGTAATAACAGTTGCGGAATATATGTGTCCATAAATGGTAAGAAAACATTTACATTTACTTGTCGTCTGTTATTTTTTGAAATGGCGATGGCAGCTACTCAGTATTCGGTGCTTGATGCCTGCAGGTATACATGTATATGTATATATATATATATATAAATATACATATACATATATGTATATATATATATATATATGTGTGTGTATTAATTTTTCAGAGCTCACTGAATATTTTTCTTTTGATTCTAGGAGCAATTGGCGCTGGCATATAAAATAAATCACGTCCAATGATATTTTTCCGCTCGCTTTGCTTCTTCTTGACTGGCCTGCGGCGAAATCATTTCATTTTTTGAACGCCAATACGCTTATTGGCATACCATGTGAGTGGATAACCCAGGCCACACAATAAGCCACACAATTTGCACAGAGAAATATAAAAAATTAATAAATGCGTCCCTTAGTGGTGTGGGTACGATGTGTGTGAGTAAGTGTGTGTGTGTGTGTGTGTGTGTGGCTGTGTGTGTGTGTGCAGCCGACCTTGTGTTTTGCCATGTTTGCCGGCAACTGCAACTGCAGAATAGCGTTCTCATATCAACTTCTCTGCGACAAGCTAGATTGCCAATCAAGCGAAGAAGAACCTCGACTCAAACTGCAAGATCCAAACTCCTGGCACCGGTTGCCACTCCAACCACCACATTTATCCCATTTCTTGCCGGCCTTTAAGTAATACAACTAATTTGTGTTAAAATTCCATTAGTGCCAAATATGCGGTGCAGAAAATTTGGGTTTGGAGTCACTATGGGACTGATTGGATTGCGGCCAAAAGTGGAAAATCAATCACAAAAATCGCTGCCTTGCTGCCTGCTTGACATAACCGGAAACACAGCTGCCCATTTACAGTGGGCCATATCCGTGCATGAATATAATAGAGTAATTTTTTGGTTTAAGCTACGGCTAAGTAAGGAATGTTCCAGAAAATATTTTATATTTCAATAAAATTTGATATATTTTCGGCATCATGTTATGCAATCAATTTAATTTCATAGGCAAACTGATCGTTTAGAGACGATAATTCATTATTCGACAGAATATGCTCAAAACAATCGTTAATAAAGCAGGCCAAGTTTGTAGATGTAACACTGTCAAGAAGCAGATCGAGAAATATATTGATAATTAAAAATGGCGAAATACATTTACATTGAAGGGTGGCAAAATTGGCCAATTGTGGTATGCCCGCGGGCGTGTTCCCTTAATTGAAAGGAAGCTGCTGGATATTAATGGATATCTTGGATGCCAGTGCTTCAGAATTGATTGAAAGTTTACATTGAATTCGCCAACGCTAATTCGACGAAGATTTGTTAATTGCACGAGTTGGATTCAATCGCGATTAAAATTGTAGATTGCATTTGATACAAAATATATATTTATTACATGTTTTTTATTTTTGTATTTTACAGTACAACAACAGCGATTAAACTCAAATCTATTCGTCACAAATTTGATCTTAGTAAAGAGCTCAAGTCGTACAAGAAATACAAAATCATGGCTGAGGGTAATCACAATATATGCGACTCCCACATGCAGGTGAAGGAAGAGGCCGAAGAGGAGAAGTTGCAGAACGAGGATGAAGGAATGGAGTCCAGTGGCACGACTGAAGCTAATAGTGAGTCAAGCTTCGACCAGATCGTGTCTTGGGAGGCATACGAGGAAGGCATGCTGTCAAAAATTGAGCAGAGCAACCGGGTTCACGCAAAGTGTATGAACAGTCTTACCAAGGAATCCGAATTGAGCGAATTCTATAAAAAGAATGGTAAAATTGATCCGGAGACCAACGACAACAGCGATGACGACAGTGTCCAGATCATATTGTCAGAGGATATTAAGGTAATTGAGATTACCTCAAGTGAAGATGACGACAGTGTCCAGATGATGGAGGATTTGAACGTGGATATTTACTTGGTGGTGATTAGGAGAAGGAGAATACTTGATTATGACAGAGAGAGCATGGAGGCGGGCGAAGATCGTTTGCCTCCAGATGGAGGAGATTAACGAATGCACCATACGGTGGTGCAGTTGGAGGCAGAACGAAATGACAACCGTGAGCTTAGCTCCACCTCCATTGAGGACGAGAATGATGGGATTGGCACGGATATTAGTGAAAACAGATATCGAGATGGCTGTCTAGATGATGGGGTAACCAACGAATCAAAAACAATAAATGAACAATACTTTTAATTCAAACTAACTAACATCATTTAATTCATGCTCATTAATATATGTAAACAAATTCAGCCATAAAATCGTAATAATTATGATATATGAATGCTGTGCATTGTTTTTCAGTTTTAATTAAAACAATTTATGCCGATAAATTGAATTCAATTATTTGATTCTGGTCCAGCTCCAGAGCAGGTGGCAGAAGTCTCCAGGCAACCATACAATCAAGCAGCCACTGCACCAAAACTGCTTAACAAATGGATTTTGTTTTGCTTTTATACTTTGAAAGAAGAGCATATTGGTTGGAGACTCGATAACATCGATAAATGCAAATCGTTTAAACCAAATATCTGTCACAATTTTAATGCTAGCTGCTGGTCACGTCCACCTTTTCATTGTCACCTGTTTTCAGTTGGTTGCAAAGTGTTTCGCAGTCGGTTACTTTCATATTGACTGCAACGTGCAATTTAAATGGCAAGCATGGACGGCTACACCTACCTGTTTTCACCCGGCATTACTTATGGTATCAAAGTATATCGCAGTCGGTTATGCCCGATTGCAGCGCCCTCTCTTGTTTGTTGGATTTCTTTGTCGTTTGTTGCTCGCTTCTCGTTTTTCGCCTTGGTGCTGTCAGAGAGTGAGAGAGTTAGAGGAAAACTGGGAATATAAGGAATATAAGAAGGATGCCAGGATGGAAAAAGTCGAAAAGGCAGCTGCTGCGGTCGCATTGTTAAGCTCTTGTTTTGGTCCAAGAAAAAACAAAAATGAAATATTGCAAAGTCAGAAAAATGATTATACAGAAGAATGGCAAGAATTGAATAAATCAAATATTTTTAGATTGCCGTTCAACATCGCGTCATTTAGCTCACTTTAAATAAAGCTATGAAACACATTTACCTCCTCTCAATCTCCTTAATCATTTAGAATATATGAATTCAATTAATTTCAATATCATAGCCCTGCCAGTGGAACAATCGGTCGAAAGATGAGTTTTGAATTGTTGGAACGAGGTAGGCATAGGCACACATATCACGCTCTCTTCACAGCCAGTCGAGAATCAGAAAACATATAAATAAATATTCTTTTTAAAACATACAAAACTTTAATAATATTTTGTTAATATTTTTTTTGTTTATATTTTTTAGTTTTTGTTATTACACTTTGGCAAATTGGAAAGAAATTTGTGATATTTGAGTTGGCACGATTATAATAAAGCTCTTAACATATATTTAATTTTCAAATCATTGAGAAAGGCTTGTTTGACTTGCAGCCTAATTTTTGACTATTTCCAAGATCTGTTTTAATTTCCTAAGTTAACTCAGACTTTTTACATTTTCTGAATGCTTAAACTGCAAATGTTCAGTTCATCGGCGCAAATGCTCCATTTTTTGTTCTCTTAACTTTGGGGTACGTTCACCAGCTTGCCGCCACGTTACTTTTCACATCATTAATTCCCACTAGATGCATCTAATCCACACACACACACACACACAATTCTTGACTGTTGGGAAACGTTTAAGGTCCAGGGCAACGCCAAACTGTGAGTTGGATGGTTCCGGTTCAGAATCGGTTTTGGGTTTAGGGGTGAGGGGATTTGTTTGTTCTCTTTGGTCTTTGGTCTTTGGTCTCTCTGGGTCGCAGTTCACTTCGTGCATGTGTAACACACGTTAACACACATAACGAGTTGGTAAAATTATTATTACATTATTATTTTGTCTGCGAGTAATTCAACAAGAACAACAACCGTGGTAGCAGTGCCACAAGGTGCTTCGAGTGAGTTTGTGTGTGTGTGTGTGTGTGAATGTGTGTGTGTGAGGCTTACAATAACAATAAATTTCAATTTTTCACACTCGCACAGAGGCAAAAGCCTGAAATTTTACACTTACAAAACAATATGGCTAAGAATTGAGAACATCTCTCTAATCCTATTTTTTTTTTTATATTTAAATGAAAAATAGTTTTAATATGGATTTATATTTTAAATAGAAGACTTAAAACGTGAATTTGAATTAAGTAATTTTTTAATTTTAATTCAAATACCTTTATATATTTTATATTTTACACCTTTGTTTCTTTAGTTTTAAAAAATCGAAAGAACAATTTATAAATTTTTAATTTGGATGCTTGTTTTTAGTGCTCTTAGTGCTGTATTATTTATTTTTCAGTGTTGGGAATATTCTAGGAAACGGGGTGGCAACTCTTAAGCAGATTGCGCTCAGTAATTTAAACGCAAAACGCGCGTTGGCTAAATAAATTTACAACTAACACACATAATACACATACACACACATATGTACACACACATGCAATCAGTTGCAATCCTGCCCAAACCCTTGTCGCATCCTTCCCACAACTTGAACGCGCTTTTGGGTTTTGTTCTGCTCATGGTTTACTTTACATCTCGACCGTTACCCACTAACACCGACCCATTTGACACAACCATCCCTCCCCCTCCTCCTCCCCACCACCCATATCCTACTTTTGGATGCATTAGTAAGCCGCGTCCATTCGTTTAGCGTCCCCTCTATCCTTTTCCAAACAAATATAACTTTATCTCTGTGCCTCTCTGTCTCTGTCTCTGTCTCTGTCTCGTGTGTGCGTGAATTACGTAAATTTTCATGCAATTAAAATTTGTTGCTTTCTGGGTATCATAATTTTATAAGTTTGAAACTGGTAGCAGCAACAAAAGAAGTGTCGGGTGGAGCGAGAGAGAGAGAGAGAGAGAGGAAGGGTGGAGTGGCAGAGCATCTAGACGATGCTAAATCTAACAAATTACAAAAGCTTTGTGCATATGCTTAAAATATATCCGCAGCTATTAGTAAAATATAAATGAAAAGTTTATACTTAAAGCTTTAAGTGCGAACAAAATGCTTATAACTTTATATAGAATGAATCTGTATTGTTGAAAAGAGCAGCTGTAAGTCAAATAAAAACAACTTAGTTGCCAAATGCGGAGACTGCACTAAACCGAGATTTGTGGCTGCTGATTTTGAGGGTTATGCTGCCGACTACGCCAGCTGTCCTTTATAAATATCTAATTATGCACATATGTATGATAATGGCCGCAGACACACACACAAACACACTCGCGTATCTAAGTGTGTGTATATATAAGCCAGTGTTGAGGCCCAGGCTGGCTTAGGCTGTGCACAGCTTAAGAGCTCTTTGTGATGCACCTGTTTAACTACGGATATGATATATAATAGTTACACTGCACAAAATCAATGCAACAGTTAATGCCTCAATATTATTTAGTCTGATCGATTTCGTCAAATTTGTGCTCTTCATTGCATTGAACTTAAAGTTTTTCAACTTGAATTGTGTCTTGAGCCCTTTAGCGTTAATTATTAGTGTTGGTTAGTGTTGCTATTAATTGTGTTACTATTTAAGCTATTTAATTTGTTATTTGAGCTACTCATATTTGTTGCTCAGTGTACAGAGAGAAATTTTTCTGCCTCTGTTACCGTGTTGATGCCACAAATGCGGCCAAAATTATGCTAAGCGCTGGTGTCTGAGGCGTTCAAAATGGTGGCATAGACAACGCCAGCAACGTTGATGGCATTGCCTCATTTATAAATCGACGATATTAAATTATAAATGGGAATTACTATTACGGCTAAGGCAGCTTTGCATGCAAAGCCTGTGTGTTTGTATGTGCGTGTGTGGGTTTGTCTTCACATCAGCGCTCTTGTTAAATTGAGCTTCCGCTTGAATAGCACACATACACACAGGACGAGAAGGAGAGAGTCCTTTAAAGTTCAAGAGCCAAAAAGGACAGTTACTTGCTGTAGCTGGCAGAGCAATTCGGCTGCAGTAGCACTAATTCTGCATCGAAACATGAAAATAAGTCGTGTTGCAAAGAATTCGAGTAATTCGAACTGTTTTATATAGGAAATGGTATTCATACTTCATTAAAAACTAGCTAAGGGTCAGGATGTGTATATGTGTACCAAATCATAAGACTAACAGTCAGTTATTAATACATTTCGGCAAAAAATAAGTAAATAAATTGTTGTAGAACATGTGATATAAGGAACAAAAATCAGGGTTAGCAGAATTAGTGTCATGTTGGAATGTATAGAAGAGCATCAGAATGTTACCCATTGAGCACATACACATGTGCACAGGGTATTTAAACCAAATCCCAGTTAATGCAGCTGCGAATGACTGCAGCTACTCACTACACTCAGGCACACACAGTCAGGCAGTCTTGACTGCACTGAGAGTTACTGTGCCATGCTGCCTGCTAACGGATTTACTCGTCTATTTTGGGCCAGATTACTTGTAGCCAAAGTCGATGCCGTTTGGATAGCAATGTGCTTGAAACCATATGAGATAAATGCGAACTTTTCGGTTTTTACTTTTGCTGTTGCTCCGACATCGTTTTCTGTTTTGGCCCTTGCGAATTGTGGCAACTGGCAACTGGTAATTGGTAGCTCTGCGCATCCAGCCCAACAAGAACAACAACAATAACAAGCATAAAAAAAAACAAGCAAGACAAAAATATTGTGGAGCGGATTGCGTATACGCCACAGAGGCTTTGGCTTAGGCCAACTCCAAAAGACTTGGCGAAAATGAGAAGCTTCTCGCTGATGAGCAGCAGCAGCAACCAAATATTTTTGCCAGCGTAAAAGTATTTCAGCAATTTTGTTGTACTAGTATATGTATGTATTTATAAACTTGTGTTATGGCTACGAAAATTTACTTGTTCAAGAGTGCGCTCGCCTCAAAGTTGGCTAAAAATCTTTAGCATACTTTGGATCCTGCAGCTCGCAGCGCTCAACAGAGAGAGAGAGAGGGGGTATAGAGAAAGTGAGTGAGTGAGAAAGTGAGATAGAGAGAGAGAGAAAGAGGGAAGGGTTAAAGAATGCGTGAGGCTGTGGTAGGTGAATCTTGTGAAATTAGCAACACTGCCTTGAGGTCATTTGACAACACTACCAAGTGCCGTTTGACACATTGCCACAGGTATTAGTACTTAAACTAAATTTCTCTTGACTCGTCTCACAGCTTGACAAATAGTTTACGCTCATCGTCATTCTTCACTGAAATTAAGTTTCAACTCCTCCAAGAGAT